TAGACACCATGATCTTGCATTTCTACCTTCCAGAACTGTAAGAGGACACATCGCTGCTGCTTTAAACCACCCAGTTTGTGGCACTTTGTTATAGTAGGTAGTACTGGGGGAATTGATACAGGAGACAGGGCAGGGGAAATGGTGACTACCAGGAAGAGCAGAGACAGACAAGGTGAAGCAAGCAAAAGCAGTGGTTTATGTGGGCACACATGCACATGCGAGTTAGTGTATGAGTGTGCATGTGTGCATATGAGTGCATGTGTGCACACACATGTGTGTCTACATCTATGCATGTGTCTGGATGTGTGACCCGCACACATATACATGCAAGTGGGTTGTGTGTGTGCATGTGTGTTCTTGGGATCCTGAACTGTCTCAATCCCAGTTGCAGGGCTGATTTACAGAGACACTTAAGCATGAGTGGCCCCAGCCCCTATCACAGTGTTGGGTAGGGTGATTTCCTATGGCCTCTTGCTGTGATGCAATTGCTGACATGCAGCTATCAGGAGCAATTGGTCATTTTGGCTCTAGCCACAGACATAGTCGAAGTGCTGGGCTTCAAGATTCTCTTCTAGGGAGCTTCCTAGGCTGTTGCCTCTCTTCCTGGGCTCCTTCCCTAGAAAATGGCTTCCAGAAAATGTGAGCAGCCTGGTTTCCAGTTATCTTCAGATTCTCAGAGGCTGACATTGAAACATGATTGGGATTTGCTTTGGGGCCCATACATAACTTGAGAATACAGAAGTCCCAAGGCATGCAAATTTGACCCAGAATACAAGTCTGATTGCTGAGGACCTGAGAATTAGAAACAAGATGCTAATTCTCTAGGACAGGCTTCATCCAGAGGGTGGGAAGGCAAGGAGCACCTGCAGCACTGTTCACAGCTACCGGGGTCGTGAGGAAGCCAAAGGAGGGTACCATCTGAGGGAACGTCTGGCCACTCAGCTGAGCTCCAGCCCTCTGAGTCCTCCCCTATTCCCAAGCTACAGTCTACATCTCAGGCACAAGGAATCAGGGACTACTGATGCATTAGGATAGGGGTTTCACCTCTCTGAGCCTCAGTTTCCACATCTGTAAAATGGGCGTAATAAAACCAATATTCCCGGGTTACAGGGTGTAAATGAGGTGACAGATGAAAGTGAGCTTTGAAAATGGTGCCATATTTCCCAATTAACTAATTACATGCTTTGACTGCAATGAAAAATAACCTCTTCTAGCACCAAATTGGGTGGAGTTTACCAGCAAATCTTAAAGGCGTTTCTCATCATGAGCTTTACAAGGAGATGGGCTATAGCAGATAAGCAATCTTTTTTGCTTAAGAGCTCATTTTTTTGCTTACTGTTCTTCATTCGCTCCCACTTCCACTTTCTGTCCTTCAACCAAACCTTCCTCCAGACCACAGGCTTTCCTGGATCTGTGTTTCTGACCTTGTGCCACTCAGACACACATATGCTTGCTGAGTCCCAGGTCTATGTCTGGAGAGTATGAAGCCATAGACACAGAAACAGCTAGAGAGAGTCAGATGTGGCAATCCTGGGCAGTTTTACCATCTGAACATGACTTTGAGAAGCGGGGAGGGGACAGTTACTCATAGCACATGGAACAAAGGCCATGTCAGTTCCAGTTGCCAAGATGTCATCACCTCGGCTATGACCAAAAATGGTCCTTCCCCTAATGTTAGATTTCAAGCAGAAATCACATGTCCAATCTCCACCCCGGAGTTACAAAAGAGTTGCATAATAAGGGGTTTCCCCCTGCACTGCTTCAAGACTCACCCTTCTGTTTTGCTCTTATAGAAAAGACAGATTAACATCTGGCCCAGATTATGAGATTCTTGCATCTGTTCAAATTCAACTAGCTGCCACGAGCTGCTGTACATGAGGGCTGTGCGTTCTTTAAGTAGGAGGTTCCTTGATAATTTAAAATTCAAATCAAGGGCTGTGGCCTCTGGTGTGTGGAAGGAGGAACTGGAAACTTGGAGGAGCCTCTAGGTAGCATCTGGGCAGCGTTTATAACAACTTCAACCAAACATGACAGGGTTATTGTGGCCAGAGAATAGCACCAGAAAACAAAAGACCAGGGTTTGAGTCTTGGTTCAGTTTAGTGCTTGTTTCATCACTGAACTCTGCACTTGGGTTTCTTTTTATGAAAATGGAGACATGATTGTCCAGGAACCATATTTTCTTCGCAGACCCTCTGGCTCAAACATATTTTCCTTGGAGTGCTCTGCTCAAATAGCACACCCACCCCAGGTTACTGACTTCACACAATCCCACACTTCCAATAGATCAATCCCACCCACAGCCACCAATGACCTGGATTTATGGAGGGGAAACTGAGGAAGAAAGTGATTAAATTGCATGCCCAAGGTCACAAACAGTGCCTGACAGACCTGGTGACAGTCTCTCAAAAATAAAATGTGGCAAAATATACATTTTTTGTTTCCTAAAACAGGTTTGGAATTGGATCGGAGCATGGAAAAGAACAAAGAAGGATGGCAGGAAGAGTTTTGAGAGTGTCCACTTCACCCTGTGTGAAGGAACTTTTCTTTATCATGCAGACCAGACAATTCTTTTTGTAAAAGAAATGCTTCCTGCTTACCTGGCTGTGAAAAAGTCAGAAGATTGGAAGCAAGGACATTGGACTCGAGAAGCCAAAGGCTAATTTTCCTTACCTTTGCTCCATCCTCCTGAGGTCCACCACTTTTGCTCTGAGTGAGCCCCTCTTCTTTCCAGAGCAATTCTCAAAATGTGGCCCACAGAATCTGAGGTCTCTGAGACCCTTTCAGAAGGACCCTCACAGTTAAGACTATTTTTACAAGGATACAAATCCATGCTTGACTTTTTGACATTTGCTGTGATGGTACAAAAGCACAGGTGATTTTGTGCTATGGTGCTGAACCAGAACCACATGAACCAGAACAGTTGCACTAAACTGTAATGACAGTCACTGCACTCTCCACCACCACCATGCACTTGCAGAAAAAAAGAAAAGAAAAAGTATCAGTTTCACTCAAGAATGTTCTTTTTTTTTTTTTTAGTCAGAGTCTTGCTCTGTCACCCAGGCTGGAGTGCAATGGTGTGATCTTGGCTCACTGCAACCTCCACCTCCCAGGTTCAAGCAATTCTTCTGCCTCAGCCTCCTGAGTAGCTGGGACTACATGCACATGCCACTGCATCTGGCTAATTTTTGTATTTTTAGTAGAGATGGTTTTGCCATGTTGGCTAGGGTGGTATCAAACTCCTGACCTCAGGTGACCTGTCCACCTCAGCCTCCCAAAGTGTTGGGATTACAGGGGGAACCACCACACCCAGCCTCAAAAATGTTCTTGATGAAGCAGTAAAAACTAATTTTACTAATGGAACACACATCTTTTTAATTCCTGTGTAATAAGTACCCATTAAGAACTTGTCTGCAGACACACTGAAATATGGTGATTGTTCTAAGGAAATGCAGTTGTGTATTTGAGTTACAAGCTAAACTATCTATTCATGAACACCATTTTTATCTGAGAGAATAACTGGCAAATTATTCTGACTTGGGCATTTGGCTGATATTTCCTTAAAAACAAATAAAGTGAGTCTGTCACTTCCAAAAAACAACTTAGGGATATTTGTTGCTGATTTTAAAATTTGAGGTTTCAAGTGAAAATTTGAATTAAAAAAAATCTGTATCCACCACTATGAGTTTGATAGATTTGATTCCCAGTACTTTTCTGATGTGATTTGTGGTGTTATTAAGTAATGTGATTGTTTAATATTGTATTTTGAAATGTGTTAACATTCTGAAGCAACATTTTCCAAAGGACCAATGCAGGAGGTTACAAAAATCACACATGGGTAAAAGATCCATTCATAGTGCAAGGTAGACCAATGAAATTTAATGTAACCTTAGGAAAGTTTATTGATATGGTTTCACATCTTAACTGCAACTAAGGAATTATACTTTGTTAAGTTTTGGCATAGTAAAGAAAGAATATCCACAATTATCTGAAACAGCCTTAAATGCTCCTCCCTGTTTCAATTACATATCTGTTAGGCCAGATTTTCTTCATGTACTCTATCAAAATATATGTGAGCAGACTGAATGCAGAAACAGAAGAATCCAACTCTAATGCTAAACCTGACATTAAAGAGATTTGCAAATGTGAAACAATGCCATGCCAACTTTCTAAAAAGGAACTACTTTTTGTAAGAAAAAAATGCTGTTAATACCAATAAGTGAAATTATTTTTAGATGAATTCTTTTAAAATTTACCTTCATTTCTAATATGGAAATCACTGACAGACATAACCATTAGGGTGCTGGTAAATGTTTAACAATCAGCACTCTGGTGGAGAAAAAGCCCTGATTTGTAGTATCTGCTGATTCCCATGGTGTAAATACTCTCATCATGCCCCATCTCAAGCTACCGTTACTGATGCAGCACCATGGTGGGAAGAGACAAGTGCTGTTAGCTCTCAGGAGCATGCAGTGAGCTGGCTCTAGTACACCAGTGAATATAATCCACATAAGCTGCTTGGCTTACTCACTAATTTTGAAGCATGTAAAGGAGCCTTGAGAACAAATATGAAAACAGGTGTCCTAAGACCACTATCACCCTACCAGTATCAGACTCCACTGAGGGGACAGAGAGTTGTGGCCTCACTTCCAAAAGTACTTAAACCTCAAATTCTAATGTACTTTACATAAACATCCTAGAATCTCTCCTCAGTTATCTCTGCCAAGCTTCTGGCAAAGACATTTGAATCTTTCTATTATAACACTTTCTTAAAAGAATTTTTTGCTTTGAAGGGACACTTTTTGGGAATTCCTTCAGGAAGGACTCAGAGTTGATTCCAATTTGGGTTGTGGTTTCTCAGTCACTTGTGTATAAACCAGTTAAACAGAGACTTGCCGCTTGATGATGGAATGTTTTGGGTAGAGAATGGGTCTGGGGTTAACATCCTTACTCCACCTCCTGCGTGCTGGATGTGGAGAAGAACAAGGACTATCACGAGGAGTTTATATAAACAAAATACTTTATTACTGAGAGAGTAAAGGCCCAGTTACAAAACTTTTATACTTAAGATCTGTTCATTACCATGCCAATGGTTTATAAGGACTTTAGTTTCTGTAACTGTTAGGTTGAACCCCATGAAACTCCTTCTTTGTAGATAAAAACCAGTCTAATATGGGCAATTTCACGTGGCTAAACCTCACATCCAATGAGCCAATGGCTAGCATTCTTTTGGCAGCAAGATGTTCCCAGTCACATGTCTGTTTATATCATAAACAGATATATCATCTGTTTATATCATAAACAGATGTCCGAGTGATAAATATGTCCCTCTTGAGAAAAACATCCTGTGTTTAAGTATACTGGGAACGTTCTTTTGTGGGTATTTAGGCGTCGCAGCTCTGGCTTTGCTCTTCCCAGCTTGCCAGGCCACCCGATTTCTCAGTTTCATCACAGGAGGATTCTTTACAGATGTCAGCCACCGGTCCAAGGCCACACAGCTAGTAAACAGTCAAGCCCATCGGACTTTGAAACCAACTTGACCGGGTCGTTTATAAAGGCCAGGAATACATGTGACTCAGGTGCTCTTTTGAAATGACTACAAAAGTCTCCATCTCGATCAAAACAATTTCTCCGAACGAATGGCTCCGACGCATTCTCTTTCCCATCTTAAGTACCTGCTCTGTGCCTCAGAACATTCTGTGTCCAAGAAAATAAGAATAACACCATCTTACTGTGGGCACTGAGCAGAAAAGGGGCAGCATGCTATTCAGATGGTTTGAGACACACAGTGAACAGAGATGGGACAAGCCGTGCTTCCTTGAAGAGGTTTCATTGAGACCCCCACTGCTCACCGTCCTTCAGCTCTGTACAGTAAGTTTAACTTTACATGGAGCTGAGATAAAAATAAAGCTTTCTTAAACAAATTACATTTTTTTTTCCAGTGAATTACTTTTGCAGTAAAAATAGCTGCTACATAAATCCCTCCTGATCTCTGAAAAGGAGTTGCATATTTCCAAAAATAGTATTCTTATTTTAATCATACAGAAGAACGTGGAGCGCAGGAAGGAAATGGCTGGTTGGTCAGGGAGAGGTGAGCTGTTGGAGAAACGCAGTTAAACTAAAAAATAAAATCTATTTTGTGTATAAACTGACTGAAAGGCATGCACAAGTGGAAAACATATGCCATTTGTCAAGAAAAATACCGCTTTATAGCTTTGACTTTACAATTAAAGGAAAAAGCAGAGGCCAGATATAACCCCAGATAATAACATTTAGGTTTCTCATAAAAATCCCTAAATGTACAAAGTCCTTGCCAGACAACCAAGGCAAGAAAAACCCCAAAAACAAAAAACACAAAAAGCAGGGATTACCCTCCATAGGCCTTATCCCTGTAAGTCTATTAAATGTAAATAACACATACTTTACAAGTTCTCTTCGTCGGCCCTTGGCAGATTAAATCTTTGCAAAATTCCATATGTGCTATTGAAGAATGAAATAAAACCTTGGATGCCTGAATTCTTATTTCAAATACAGTTATATAATTATTTTAAATTACAATATATAATTTCTGATAAATAGAACTGTTAGGGGATTTTGAGAACAATTATAAGATTATAATAATATATACACACTAACTTCTGAAATGACATGGTTGTTTCCTTCCCACCCTCCTACCCTTCTCAAAGAGTTTTTGCATTTGCTGTTCCTGGTTGCAGAAGGCAAAAGAAAATCTAAAAATAGTGTGGGGTGTGTGTGTGTGTGTGTGTGTGTGTGTGTGTGTGTGTGTGTCCGCGACATGCTCGCTCCTTTGAGAGTCTCAAACAGCCAGAACCATCCCGTCCACAGCCTGCCAGGCGCCAGGATGGCTTCCCGGTGCCTCTTTCTCGACCATTTTCACTTAAAAGCACTGTGAGGAGACATAGCTGTGCCGTCGCTGTCACTAGGGAGACAGCCTGGTCAAGAGGCGTGGTTTGGGAGGCAATAAGGCCACTGCTTCTTGGCGACTTTCCCGGGCGTTTTCTTTCCTGTCTTTCCTGGGTCTTCGGAGCAGTTGGTCAGGATGGACTTCCCACTCAGTCCACGAGCCTGGGGCCGGCTCAGGGAGGTCCTGGCGACCTCAGTCCTCCGTGTCGGGCTGGACGCCCAAGATGGCGTGCAGCTCCTCGGGTGTGAACCCCAGCAAGTTCTGGAGGTCGCACACAAAGCGGTACACGTAGCGCTTCCCCGATGTCTTGTGGATGATGTTCTTGTCATAATAGTAGCGTAAGCCCCGGCTCAGCTTCTCGTAGTTCATCTTGGGCTTATTTTTCCTCTTTCCCCACCGGCGGGCCACCTTTGGTGAACATGGATGGAAAAGAGTTAAACTCAATTTGTCAGTGAAGAAAACATGGATAACATTCCTCCCTGATTATGATTCTGAGGCACCTTCACCCTAGAGAACTTGACATCTACATAAGGTCCACAGGAGGGTCTATCTCTCTGAGTACATATGCCAGGGACACTGTCCCCGCAGGACAGAACCACTGGGAGTGAAGTCCCTGCTCCTTGTCCACAGCTCAGCGAAACCTCCTGGGAGCCAAGGGTTCAGAGCCAGGTCAGCCACCCTCCAGGCTTTTATTCCAACTACTGAAGTTAACAGGTGCTGAGTGGGATTCTGAGCTACGTGACATACTCATTCCTCAATGCTTGTCTCCCAAGGGACTGGGGGCCGGGTGGGAGTGGTGACAGATTATGCTCTCTGGTGCCAGAGACCAAGGGCTTCTCTCTAATGCTTTTCTGGAGGGGTTGGTATCCCACGTGCCCTTGGCCTTTTCCTTTAGACAGGGTTCTAACCCTGCAGGGCTGGTGCCAATGCTGCTGGGCTCAGCTATGGAGCAGACAGAAGGCCGGCTTGCGGCTACATGAGGCTCGTTCCCCTAGTGGACGAGGGCAGCCTTCCTAATGCATTTTCAGATGGTCCGCAGAGAACCTGCGTTTGCAGCTTGGGCCTCTTCATCAGACAACTAGTGAGACAGTGAAATCTGTGCAACACCCTTGTATGTAGCATACCCAGGAAACACTGTACACATTTATCAACAAAGCAATGACTCCACTTCCATTTTCCCAACAGTCAAGGATGCCTCATGTAGAAAGATTCTCATCAGTACCGGGGAGCCCTTTTGTGTGCCCAGAGAACTGAGTTTTTGAACCCAAGCATGAAATCCAGTTTTCAAGCCCAGAGACTTCCCAGGGCTCTAGCCGTACCTCGTCGGGGTCGGCGAGCTTGAACTCCCACCCGTCTCCAGTCCAGCTGATGAATGACTGGCAGGATTTGTCTGATAACAACTCCAGGAGAAACTGCCACAGCTGAATGGGTCCACTTCCTGCGGGGAGAGTGGGGGAGATGGATCACACCCTTTCATAGATGTAAAATACAGTAAGGCTTTAACCATCCTAATTGTGCATGCTGATTCAGGAATGCAGACCCAACTCTCTGAATGGGGTGTTCCAATGTGACACTCAAGGGTGGCACTCAAGGTGTTGGTGACAGAACTAAGTGCTTTAATGGGATAGGGCTGGGCATCAAATGTGACTTCCTCCTCCACACTGCCTACTCCTAGAAAATAAGGTCACTAGATGCAACACTCTTCCCCTTGATTGTCGGGTTTGTTCTTTCTGGAAAAAAGTTGAGGGCCACCAACTCTTGGCATTAAAATTCCTCATCTGGTTTAATTGTTCCTTATGTAAAAACCTTCAAGGTTTATTTCTAGAAACACCCAGTGGGGCAGAGATGGGGGTGGCTGAAGGGGCATTTCATCACAGAACGAGGCATGTCATACGTGGGATCTCATCCTATGCCAAATGACCATGTGTACATTGCTTAATGTGAGCCCGGTTTACTCACCAGCCACACAGGGTCACATCCACTGCCTCACAGCCTCTGCCTGGTGAAGCATGCTTCGCCAAGAGCTTCTCATGCATCTGTTCTCAGTTGATATTTAGAACTACCACCTTGCAGGCCGGGTGTGGTGGCTCATGCCTGTAATCCCAGCACTTTGGGAGGCCGAGGCGGGCGGATCACAAGGTCAGGAGTTCGAGACCAGCCTGACCAACATGGTGAAACCCCGTCTCTACTAAAAATACAAAAATCAGCCAGGCGTGGTGACATGCACCTGTAAACCCAGGTATTCAGGAGGCTGAGGCAGGAGAATCGCTTGAACCCAGGAGGTAGAGGTTGCAGTGAGTTGACATCGCACCACTGCACTCCAGCCTGGGTGACAGAGAGAGACTCTGTCGTAAAAAAAAAAAAAAAAAAAGGAACTACCACCTTGCAAGCCAAGTGCCAGTGTGGTCCTGTTCTAAAGAGAAGGGATAAGATGCAGCTCAGAGACCAGGTGCCTTGCCCTGGACCACACGCCCATCACAGCAGAGGGGAGAAAAGCCTAGCTCTTATGACGCTAAGCCCAATCTCTTTCTACCAATTAGCTCTTCCTCAGAAACACAATGGCTGTTTTCAATAAAGCTTTGCTGGAAAGCATGGGGCAGGCATTCTAGAACCAGAGCTCTGTGACCACTGAGAGGGGTCTACTTGTGAGCCAATTTCCCCATCTGTAAAATGGCCTCATACCACCCCCATGCCAGGCTGTCCTACCGACAACAGACCGTATGACACTTAGCCAGAGTTGACAGTCGATAAACAGAAACTTACAGTACTATTAACATGAAACACGCTGACGTTATGGCTGTTTATTATTCTCAGGCCCTGAACTCCCAATAATGAAAACAGTAACAGCTTTCACACCCTCTTTCCGTGTATTTTAATACATTTACGTGGCTGCTTGTTTTTAGGTGACAGAAAAAGAATGAATGTCTCAGCATCCTTATTTTAACTTATCAGGCTTTTTAAAGTTAGGTGATTTCAGTCCACAGTGGCTCCATAGGGTCAACAACAACAACAGCAAAACACATGTAAGGACACATGAAGCAGTGAAAACAAAGTCCCAGCATTTTCGCGAAAGTACTGGAAATATCTGGTTCTAAAAGCAGCGTTAATATTTGTCCTCTGCCTAGAATAGCTCTCACCCAAGCCTCAAAAATAAGAGTAGATAGATTTTAGAAGCAAGAAAAGGTAAACAGTGCCCATATTATTAGAGGCCAGCTCTGCTGCCCCTCCCTAAGCCAGTTTACATTCTTTGAGATTCTTGGAGTGGGTGAGTCAGGGCTAAAGACTGCCCAGGCCATGTCCCCTGCTCCTACTATGCCTCAGAACGTTCCAGGTGGAGGGAGTGGCCTGCCGATTTTCATTCACTCCACTGAGCTCTGCGTACATGAAGATTCCTGCAAGTGCGGCTTTTCTGGAATTCAGAGACACAGCAAGCCATGCAGAAAACATGGAGTGTAGATCCAGTGCACCCCGCTTAGAAACACCCTTGGTGAACGTGGTACTATGGCTCGAAAGAAAACAAGGGATGGGGCCCAGGAGACTGGGTGGCCAGGCTCCGGGAGCTGCGCACGCACCTGTGAAGCCAGCCAGCACAGCCGCAGGTATAACTGGTTTGCCTTGCTCCACCGGGTCACTCCTCTCTTGGATGTAATCCTTGAAAGACATGGTTGGCTTATTGAGGCAGAGCGACTGGCTGCAGTCATCGTCGAAGCTCTCAAAGGAAGGCACCCGCTGCACATCCAGCAAGGACGACTGGCTGTTCCAAGACTGGAGGAGGGAGTCTGAGCTCTCGAAGCTGTCTGCACCATTCTCGGTGGAGATGTGGTCTTTGGGCGTCCCTGGCAAAGACAACCAAGCACATACTTTGATTCTTCCAGGACACGGTTGGTCTTGGGCACGACCACAGCATCACCAACCACTCCCAGTACAACCGTACACCTCTGGTGTAGAGCCATGCAGACTACTCAAAATGCTCTCCACTCAGGTGCCAATTCCTCAGAGTAACTGTACTACACAAATCCTACCTTCCATCAACAGTAGAATGAATAACACTCTTACAATGGAATACTATACAGTGATGAAAAAGAACATGTGGCTCCTATATCCAACAACCTGGATGAATCCCAGACATCATGAGTAAAAGACAAACCCAAAAGAAAACATTCTTCATGATCCCGTCTATGTAAAGTTCAAGAAAAATCAAAACCTGGATTCATGATGATAAAGGTCAGAATGGTTTCCTTTTGGGCAGAGGGGATGTTATTGATGGGAAAGGGTACGAAGGCACCTTCTGGGCTATTGGAAACTTGTCTACATCCATCCTGATGGTTATTACGTAGGTATACATACGTACACAAATTCAACCAGCTGTATGACCTGAGATTTGGGCACTGCTTTTATGTTATATCTCCATAAAAAGAAAGGCCACTTTCCTGCATTGCCTCCATAAATATCCCAAAGTGTGGAGAAATCCGGCTGTAAGAGCAGGGGCTGTGTTTTGTTTACTCAATCCCCACAGTACCTGAAGCATATTAGGGGTATGCTTGTTGGAAAGCCACTCAGAACGTGGCCCAGTGCTTTGACCTCCTTCTCCAACGACTGAACCCAGAAGTATTGATTAAGAAGTCCATTACGGCTTTGGGATTCTCAGAATCCAACCAACAGCCTTGCTGAAAGATGCTTCCAATCTTACCAGAATTGTTGGTGAGCAAACTCAAGTTGCTGCCTGGGAAGTCCTGACTGACGGAGCAGTAGGCGACGCTGAGGGAGCTGAGCCGAGACTTGGGGAACATCTGAAACTCCTGCTCGGAGCTGAGTACACTGGGTGTGGAAGACGGACACATGCTGTCCAGGAGACCGCCTTTGGGGTAATTTTGTGTCTGCATTCCATAGGGTGCCTGCTCTGTGCCAAAACCTGGAACAGAACAATCGGACGGCAGAGCTCTTAAAGTCAGTATTACTATAGCAACTAACCCCAAACAGCAAATCACAGGTGACCACACCGCACACTGCAGCCCTCTGCAGAACCTCAGTGGAGACCTGGGTTTTGGGGGGGTGGTCTTCATCAGGTCTTCTTCTCAAACCATTGATCTTTTCAGCCAGCAGCCCTTTCCCAAAATGACCGCAGCCTCTGCGGGCAGGATCAATGTTCCTATTTCCACAACACTAGTGTTTTCATGGCACCCTTGGGAAGACAGGGCTCACTGGCTCTTTTAGTTTCTGAGGAGAGTAAGGCTCAGAGAACCAAGTGATGTGTCATGCCCTGTGTGATTCATAAGGAGCAGAACCAGGCCGTGAACCCTGTGTGCTGCGACACCGCCCACCCTGCTTTCTGCTCCTTCATCACGCTCCTCCTGTCTCTGTTCATTGCAGAATAATTCATTTTCTGGAGAGGGAAGGAAGATCTCTGACTCTGATTCAGGCTCAGGCAGGCAGAGGGTGTCCCACTGTGCCACATTCAGAAAGACCTCCTGAGCAGGAAGCCCCCAGTGGGGCAGAGAGGTGGGTTTCACCGGGTCTGAAAGGTGGAGCTGGGGCCAGAGAAAACACTAGGCTGGACCAACACCACCCAAGCCTGCCGTTCCGAGGAGCCCTCCCACACTGGCCTGGCCAGACCATGTGTCCTCCCCAGTGCCAGCAACCAGAAGAAGGGACCCAGCTCCCATGACAGTTCTTTAAACTCCCAAGCTCAGGGCCAGTTTACAAACTGCTTTCCAGACACTCTCTGTGCCTGCCGCCTCTTGTTTGTTACACGAGATCAACAGGTGGTGACCGTGGTAATCAGTTCACTTATTCTGCCCCTTGCTTTAAGAATCAGCTGGACTGGCACTAACAGTGCTGAGCTATGCAAAGATAGTGCCATCCACTTAAGGAACTTTGAATGTTCTAGTGGCCGTATTAAAAAAGCAAGAAGAAACAGGTGAAGTTAATTTTCTTATTTTACTTGACTTCATACAGCGATTATCATTTCAGTATGCAATCGATGTGTTAAAAATTACCACAGAGACATTTTGTATTCTTTGTTTCACACTAAGACATCCACATCTGGTGTACATGACTATATTCTTCCTACACATCTCCATGTGGACCAGCCACATTTCAACAGCTCAGCTCAACACCCACGTGTGGCACCGTAAGAGACACACAGGTCTAGATGGCCCCTTAGGAGCCTACAATAGAGAGAACCCAAGTCTACTGGGCAGACTGAAGACCAAATTCTTAAGAGCAGAATCAATCGGACTGACCTAATGTATTGCTGTTAATCCAATGAGGAACTGAGGTGAGGTGTGAATTTTCTTCATATTGATCTTCTGTCTTTTCTTGGTTTTCTGAAAAAGACACAGGAGACATAAGAGGGCAGAGGTAGGTGAAAACCACATTAGAACAGACTTACTTTCTGAATTCCTATTAGGTGATAATTTTAGAATGATAAAATGCATTGAGTGCTTCACATTTAATCTCATGGTGCTCCATGTCACTGCAAGTCTTTTTCAAAACACGAGAGAAAGCAACTCATCTTTCTAATTACTAAAATAAATTTTCCAAAATGAATGATGTCATTGGCAATGTTAAATTTTCTATCGCAAAAGGTCCAGATGGTGTATTGAATTCATTCATGCATTCAAGAAACAGTGAAGTATTTATGAAATGCCATCTGTACCAGAGGCTGCATAGAGAAAATTAATAAAATGGATGGTGTCTGCCCCCGGGAAGCTTACAGTTCCACTGCTTCCAAACTTGCAAGCTTCCCCAGGGTGTGGGAGGCCTCCGGAGCTGTGGGAGTCTAGAACGGGGAACACACGTGTCCAAGAACTTTGAAAGAAAAAAGGTTTGTGCACTGTGTATGCTGCTTACTATGAATATATTATGAAGCACACATGCACCCAGAAACGCAGACACACACAAACTTTCAGGCCCTAGGAATGGCAAAACGGGCCCAATTTGCCAATAAACAGATCATCAGAAACTTGTTAGAAAAGCCCTGTCCAAGTTCAGAAAAAATGAGGGTCTTTAAAAATGAGTTTCCCTGGCCCTCAGAAGCCGTAACTAATAAAACTTAGCTGTTGAATCCTAGGTGTTTTTGAGATTCTGAGTCTACAGTTGACGTTGAAATTCAGTGTGTTTAAAATCAGTAGGGTGAGGACTATTTCCCTGAATTCTATCAACATGCTTATTTTCTTATACATTTTTTTTAACTTAAATAATCTCTACTGTATTTTTTTTTTCTTTTGAGACAGAGACTAACTCTCTCACACAGGCTGGAGTGCAGTGGTGTGATCTCGACTCACTGCAACCCTCTGCCTCCCGGGTTCAACAGATTCTCTATTGCCTCCTCCCGAGTATCTGGGATTACAGGTGTGTGCTACCATGCCCAGCTGATCAGTATTATTTTTTTGTATTTTTAGTAGAGACAGGGTTTCACCATGTTGACCATGTTTAAGTGATTCACCCACCTCGGCCTTCCAAAGTGCTAGGATTAAAGGTGTGAGCTACCACGCCCAGCCTTTTTTATTTTTTAACTCAGTGTGTTTTAAACATTGGTCTCCCTGGTATTTTAAGTTTTGAATCAAGACTTTCTTTGTTTTTGATGAGAATTCTACTGATCAATGGCCGCTTTCTGTACGATACAATAGCATAAAAATAAATACCAATTTCTTACTTGTTTAAAAACATACCTCCTCCCCAATCCTCAACATCCAAAACACATTCCATTTGGACATAGGAAAATTTATAATAGAATTCACAGGGTTTATGCAAGTAAAGGCTTCCTTTCATTAAGGCTGCCATATCTTTCAGCTCTGTAAGGTGAGCTTATAAGATGTGAGAATTCTTGCTGTCCTACATATGAGTCAACGTGGACTCCCGTGACGAATACAGCCCAGCAATAGTGAACAATTCAGTGACTAAGGCTACTGCCTTGGGGCTATACTTGATGCTATATACACACACACACTCACATAAAGTGGGATAAAAATCTATAATCACTGTCACATATCTGACTCACTTGAGTGGCATTTTGAGGCAATGTACTCTATGCCATTTCAAGTGCCAACCCTAAGGTTGAAGAACACCCACGTGACTTTCCCGGCCACAGCTCATCCTGGACAAAGAGAAGCAAGACATTCAGCCGGTACCTTTGATCATTTGCTCCAGATGTTCCCAGAGAATGTCACCCACAAAGTCAGGTGCCAGCTCCAGAAAGCGTTCCTTGCCAAGGTTACACAACATCTGGCCATTCATGCCAAACCTCTGCAGATTCACGTTCACCAGGCTGAACTCGTTGGTGGCCCAGAGAAGCCACTGGCACACCTGCTGCTCACTCCACAGCCAGGGGTCTGCCAGGAGAGAAAAGAGGCACACACGAGGTAAGAACAACGGAAAGGGGGTGAGACCACTGTCATCCCGAATTCATTCACCAGGTCCAGACACATTCCAGAACCCATGAATGAGCAAGACACCATTCTGACACCTGTCACCATTCTGCACAACCCAGGCAAACTCCAAGACACCAGTAACGGTTCCTTCTACTATAAATTTAGTGAGTTATGGATCAAGTCTTCAGTTGACTGGGGTGAAACAGAAACTGGCTCAGGTTAACGACATCTCTGCTACTTTTTGCAGAATACCCCAGGCAAAAGCTTACAAAACAAGTCAAGATCATCAGCTACACCCAGGTCTGTTCTCCCCCAGTGCAGGCTCAGGAAAGCCGTACTCACTCTTTGGAATGCCGAGGCGCCGCTGCTCCTTTTTGAAGCCACTGAAGGTAGCTTTTAAGGCTTGACTCATCACAGCCTTGCTGCATGGGGTTAACAAAGGCAATTCACAGTTGGCTGAGTCTGCAAGAAAACCCCCCCAAGGGGACATTAGTACTTCAAGTGGGTGATATAGGTGGAGATTTAGGAGAGACATCTTAGTTTTTGGAAAAGGACAATTTTAATCTCAAACTTTGGCATGATTCCTTAAAACAGTGTAACTATTAACAAAAAACTTTTCTGACTACAATCGAGAAAATATATGTCTCAGAACTACACTTATGAAAAAAATCTAAAATAAAACTCAAATTTTATTCTGTTTTACAAAGTGTCACAAAGCAGCTGTGTATAGGGAAAACGGCTATCTAAGTCTATTTTTAAATTGTAGGCAAGGGAAGGAATTGTGTGCTTTCCAGTCAAATGGCTGAAAGGACTCTATCATTTGGAAGTTGCTTCCATTAAACTAGGCACATAGCTGAGAAGTGCGCATGATAGAAACGTGCTGCTCTTAGCAAGGTAATGAAACCACACCTTCCATTTTTACTGGAAAACAATCTTCTCCAGACACCCTCAGCAATTTCAAGAATGATAAATGGCTGCCATGCAATGTTATGCTTACGCCAGTGTATGCGTTTTAATTAATTTTCCTAGTATTCTCAGCACCTACTTCATAGGACACAGTTATTTCTGGCATGTTCCCAACTAATAACTCTGTCACAGTCATTGCACAGACATTATCTGACGTGCTATTCCTTTAAAAAGAATAAACAGTGACACAAAGAACTACAGAAATCAATACAGATGGAAAAAGATGACAAAGGACAATTTGTTGCCCCAAAACTCAGGGCAGGGGAGACGACTTAACTCATGATGCAAACCTCAAATTACAAGGTTGGGTGTGTTTTAATGTCCGCTCTTCTGCTTGTTTTCAGAGCAGAGCAGGGGGAGGAGGACCTGCTTGCTAATGTTGAAATCATCCACAAGGGACAGATCAGGGGTTCTCCCCCCTCTCGGCCCCCCGCAGTTTCCAAACAGTGGCTCACTGGGGGGCGTCTGGCAGTCAAGATATCAGAATCCACATCAGAATCACCAAGTTTATACAAATGAAAGCCTGCTTTATCCCAGGTCCAGAACTTCTGGATATTCATACCAAAGATTCCAGATGCCAACATTCCTCACTTAGGAACTGCCATCTCTTTATTAACTGAACTACTTAGGAAATATCATGCAGTTTGTCAAGTTTGAGGAACAAATTACCATGAGAAATTGAATCCAAGCCTGTTGGCACTTCTTGTAGTGTTTGCTCTTCATTGAGAGAAGGGAAAACAGCAAACAGGGACCCATCAAAGGTGTCAAAGGCTGGCTGGCGCTGCAGAGACAGATGGAAAAGAAAATGGAAATAGAATACTAAAACTGATTTCATTACCTATTGTAAAAGTGCACCACAGGCAATCCTACCAATATTCCCTGATTAAACTGGCAATTCTGAAGCAAACATGGAATCAACCAGTCAGTCCTCAAGGCAGATTTATAAAATGATCAAAGTGACTGAAATCATTTTATTTTACTGTGTATTATAATTATTATTATTTTGAGATGGAGTCTCACTCTGTCACCCAGGCCAGGGTGCAGTGTTGCAATCTTGGCTCACTGCAACCTCTACCTCCTGGGTTCAAGTGATTCTCCTGCCTCAGCCTCCCAAGTAGCAGGACTACAGGCGCCCGCCACCACGCCTGGCTAATTTTTGTATTTTTAGTAGAGATAGGGTTTCACTGTGTTGGCCAGACTGATCTCGAACTCCTGACCTTGTGTAATCCACCTGCCTTGGCCTCCCAAAGTGCTGGGATTACAGGCATGAGCCACGGTGCCCGGCTACTGTGGATTTACTTAAGTAACCTCACAGAGTTAGAGTGACTGGGAATTTATTTTAGTGGCCTAATCCACTTAAGTTAATATATTAAATACACAAATCTAAAAATAACAGAATCTTACAACGCTGTCGAGAGGAGCCTCAGAGACCTCTTTACCCAGCACCTGACCCTCCTGTTACATGGAGAAAAGTTTAATTAGGCTGTGTATATAAGAAAAATGACCCTTGACAAGGCTGTCTGAGTATAGTGCAGTTAAAAAAAAAGGCAAATGACTGGATAAAAACAGAAAATCAAACAATGAAATAAAATGCTTTATCTTGGGAAGCATTTATTTTGAAATGTTTGCCATGAAACTATTTAACTGAAACTAGAGATGCTTTTCCACATCGATTTCAGTGGTTTGGAAAACAGTAATACATGACAAAATTCCTTTACGTTTCTTTTTATAAAAAGTAAATTGTCTTAAAAAAGAAACCCCTCCCCGCCCCTGAGGCCATGTGGGGTGGCTTATTCCTGTAACGCCAATGCTTTAGAAGGCTGAGGCCAGAGGATCACTTGAGCCCAGGAGTTCAAGGCTGCAGTAAGCTATGATCAAGTCACTGCACTCAAGCCTGGGCAACAGAGAGGGACCCTGTTGCTTAAAACCAAAAAACAAAAAGCAAGCAAACAAACAAAACTCAAATCACCTACTAAGGGGAAAGATTTCCAAAGGAAATAGGTTTAAAGTTAAACTAAACTATCTGCAGAAGAGAAGAGACAAACAGAAAGATAAAACTTACACTACATCAATTTCGGATCATCTTACATAATATTTATGAAAGAAACAGCTTTTAATATAAGACTTGTTTGTAAGTAACAGATAATGTCTTGATTCATAATTGCCTAAATTGTTGAGGAAAATGTGAAGAAAGACTATATTTTTTCCAACATAAGCTGGAAATCCCATGCTATGTGTAATACAATGACCCATCTGTTGAGTCATCAATAAGAAAATGTGTAACACATTTACAAATAAAATCGGTTACACGGTTTCTTTTTAGAAATGCAACAATGAATGACGCATTGCAAAAGAGGGCAGGCAGAGGCTGGAGCCAGCGCAAAAAAATTCAAGTCAATGTTGACCAACTGCCTGGGATCTATAAGGAAAGCCAATCAATCAGGCCTGTGCAAATTACTCATCTGGATTTATAAACTACTTTAGAACAGAGCTAACTTTGGTGAAACCTCCAATAAACTTTTAAAGTTCCCACAAGCATTGCCCAGGCAACTAAGAAATGCCTTTCCTGACTGTAAATTCTTTTTTTTTTTAAGCCAGGAAGCCAAAAGACAATACAAATCTGTGCTTCCTATTTCAACACATCAGTTTCAGCAATGACTGCTTCTTTTCCGTATCCAGAAACCGCATGAGCATCATCAAATTATTTGAATTCATAGAAGGATTTTTCTTAGGGGTACAGGTGTGGTTTCAACTTAATATCATGACTTTTTGTACCACTTCTGCCATGCTTAAAATGTCTGGCCAAATCGAACAAGCAAACTTACTAGTCTGAAGTCTGATGACCTTTAGAATACTCCAGAAAGGACTGTGCTGAATTTTGTCTCTTTGGGTCACATCAGACAAATAACCTCAATAATGATATACAAAGGAAAATGTAATATGCCACAGACGTACATCATTATTATGCAAGACACTTAGCTTTGAGGAGGACAATTTTAAAATCATGCTTCTGAAACATGTTTACTACATAATGCTGAAAACAATCAAATCTTGCTGTCATATTTGGAGAAGGCAAGTGGGAAATTACCAGTTTGTGTTACTAAAGAATGTTCCCAAAAGGAATGATGATAGAAACTACATAAAATGTTTATGCAGCAGAGAGGGCGCTTTCATTTCTCATCTGGTTTTTAGTTTAACAAAAGCAGGCCTGCTTGTTCTCTGTGCCAGTAACAGGCTACCTACAACCCCAGAAATGCTGCTCTTTCTGATAGGAGCTTGGGTCTGTCTGCCTCTTCTCTCTCATTTCAGTCCTTAAACAGCTTCCCGTCATCCAAGGAAACTCCTCAGTAGACAGAAAAGGCATTAGAGCCAGCCTCTCCAGCTGTTTTATTGGTAGTCATAGGACTTTCAACTGGAAGGAGCCTCAGAAAATAAACCATAGAGACCTTTGGTTTCATATCGTGGAGAACAAGTACAACATGATCAAGATACCCATTCTGCAGACCAGAAAACCAAGGCCCAGAGCAAGTAAGCAAATAGTTTATAGTCATATGGCCAATAAATTAAAAAGCTAGGACTACAACCAGTTTTCTGGGACCCAGGCCGTTTTTTCTTTCCTCTTAGTGATCAAGGTTTCCATTTAAAAAAAAAAAAATTAAGACTTGCTCACTCACCTTGAGCGTCCCTCTGTAACTGTTAGCCACAGGGGCTACCTGGTCCATATTCTTGACTCCGAAATCATTCATCTTAAAGAAGAAGAAAAAGAAAGCGTCAAAGAGGCAAGGAAGTACACTAAGAACTCATCATTGGTGGCATCAAGACTAGGTTATGGCTGAGTTCTACAGCTAACAAGTAATTCAAAAGTGAGTGCAGGGAATTCTTATTTAAATAGCTGTCCTCCCAGGGGTCTCAAGAGGAAAGCCTTTCTTCAGTATAACAAGGGGATATGCTGTTTAGGTGATTGAATAATAATGCTGATTCTCCACTGAATTCCACTTAGATGTGCACAAAAAAATGTCACAGGCTGGCTGGCTGGTCAGAGCCTCCTGGCTGGGTTAGCTGGGCAAGAGGGCCTGAGTCAGGCTTTTCCTTGACATTTCCATGGTCAGCTTAGGTGAGCAGTTGGGTGGGTATGGCGTGGCAGTGGGCTGCCTCCTGTCTGCTCTGGACACAATCAGCTCAACCTGAGAGTTTCAGGGCAGCTGCAGGGGGTCATCTTCCAGAGGCAGGAAAGCACGCTGAACGGAAGCCCTCTCTCTTCCCTTCCCCTCTCCAGGCTGTGAAAAAACACACACCCAGGGAAGGGATCAAAGGGAGAACTGAAGACCAAACTCCCTTACTGGGTCCCAGATCTTCCTGCTTTGAATACAGAGCTCAAAATATATCTGCTTTTTCTGTTGCTTGGCTGTGCATTTCTTCAAGAGGAAGTAATTCCAAGCACAGAGCTGCCTTACTTCCTCTGACTGAGTCTTAGTCTTCTACTAGGCCTGGGCTAAGCAATGTGGTAGCCACTTGCCATGTGCAGCTACAGAGCTCTCAACCAGTGGCCAGTAGGAATGCACACAGATACACTAGCTCTCAAAGGCTTAAAAAAAGTGGAAAAAAGTGAAAAGCTCAATAATTTTTATACTTATATAATATTTTGAATATATTAGGTTAATTTGAAATACATTGAAATCAATTTCAATTTTTACTATTTTTAACGTGGCTATTATAATGAGGCTTGTAATTGGATAATGCCATAATAGACTGAAAACTTATTTGGGGCTCTAAAATGTAATTGTTCAGCCAGGTAAGTTACAGATCAATAAGAAATCTATTGATATGTATCTTACCCGATCGAACAATTACTCAGTATCTCCACTTGGTGGATTATGTCACTCACATTCACTCAACAATCACTATAATAGAGTATTATCTAAGTATCTTTCTTATTGATAAATATCAATAAGAAAGGTAAGTTACATATCAATAAGTTACTTAGATAATAGAGTAAATAAAACTCATTTTCAAAGACCTTGGGTTAACACTGATGAGTGGCCTTCATCTCTAGGGCAATTGCTTGCCCTACCAGGTTCAGGGCTGTGGAACTGAAGGCTGGTAGCAAAGCTCCAAGCCCAGCTCCATGGCCTCCACTGAGTGCTCTCACCTGTTTGCAACTTAAAAGTAATGAAGACAGCACTCAACTGATAGAACTTACTGGAGGTGGTGAAATAACATATTCTCACAGAATTATTTAATTTGCATTTGTTTTCTTGTTTTCTCTTTATGATCAACATTATGGCTAAACCAGACCTTCCAAGAACCCTACCACCCAACACACACCCAACACACACACACACACACACACACACACACACACACACACACACACACCCTCCCTCTTGGGTAAAAGGCAGCAGGTGAGGCCAGAGGCATCAGAAAACTCTGTTAAAACCCTCCTAGTGCAGGAAATGACCACGGTAGCCAACAAAGGCTGGCCAGTACTGGCAATAAACAATAGACCTATGGGCGGACTGAAAGGGGCAGCAGCCTTGGATCCAAAGTGGCCAAATTTACTCAGAATCTCCACTTGGTAGATTATGTCACTCACATTCACTCAACAATCAATATTCACTCCTACTGATGGCTGCCATTGCCAGAATGCCTAGTCACTAATGGCTAAGCCCCGTGCTGGGGGACCACCCACTCCAACCTAATTGAATCTTCCTGCATCCTTGAGAGGCAGACGTCATACAGTGAAGCAACAGAGACCCAGCAACATGGACAACCTGCCCACGAACCACACAGCCACCATGGGGCTACCACAGGGCAAAGTGGAGATCAAGCCCCATTTGAGTGTGGTCCTCAATCCTGAGTCCTCCACACAGTTCTCCATGCCCAGAGAACATGAATGATGAGGAATGGACCCTTCCCACCCCACCCTGATATTAGACCAGGCTCTTCTCACTACTCCTTCCAATGTGAAATGCTCCTTCCTTTAGAGCTTTATGTCATCTATCCGCATGAAATACGCCCTGGTACCTGTTGATAAAAGAAATAAACAAGCCTCAAACAGAAGGCCAAAATCAGAGACATCTTGAGTGTTGCCAATTATCCATCCAGAGCAGGATGGGTCAGCTCTTTTTCTTCCTTAGGCTTGCAGACTGCTTGCTGACTTGATTCTGTTTTTCAGCTTCTCTGAGATAGACACAGAATGAATGTGGAAGGCAGTGGAAAAGCTCTGCCCCGCTTTTGTGTACAAATACCAGCCTACCACTCCCACATAAAGAGCTGTAATTACTAGCTACAGAATAGAATTCTTTTGTTGTCCAGCTTTTAATGAGTTTTGTAAAAACCATGCAGAATTAAAGTGCTCTACTAAATGGTTTCAGGCAGACACACAACTAATCAAATTTAAGCTCGCTTATTTTACTCAACAGTGATTGTTAGGTGGCAGACAAGCCAAGTTTTTCCACATAAATCAATTTCAAGTTTGGTGTTGCTGATGGATCACTGCTTTTGAACCAAAAACAAAAAAAGAAGGAAAAAGGGCAGAAGCCTAACAGCTGAGAATGGTTAAATTTTAAAACAAGGAGGATTTGCCTGACAACAGTACTCTTATTGGAACAAGTAATCACATCTCTAAGATCATTTAGATAAATTTGAAAACAAAAAAAGAAACACCACAACCTTGTAACACACATTTGAAGGTAGTTTGCTTTTTTCGCTTTGAAAGCGATCAGTTTAGAGAGATGAATGACTAATCCCAGAAATGAGTATCTGAACATTTCCCTGGGGATGGTCGGTGTTAACATTCACTGTACTGCGTTATTACTCAGAATTTTAATAAAGCTTAACGTGGAGATTTATCTCCTTGATTGGAGGTGGTGTGGGCAGATAACGCATAGGCGCTACCATTGTACAGAACAAACATAATCTCTTACTGGCGAATTAAAATAAATTACTCTTATCTCCAAAGGGGACTGCTCATTTCTTTACTTTCTGAATAACTGGCGCGTCAACTACTATTTTAGGCTACCCTGAAATTGGGTACAGGTTAACATAAAAGGTCTCCTGCGCTAAAAAATAAAACAGGCTAACACACGCGAAACCCAAACACACACAAGCAAACAGTTACCCCTTCATTCAAATGCTGTACGAACGAGAAAATAAAAGCAGTCCAGCACAACCAGATCCCACTTTTGACAGGTTTCCCACGCTCTCCTCGCAGGACCGAGCGGCCCCCAGCCCGGGTCCTGGACGCGGCAGAGCAGGTGACCATGGTACCCTGCGCCCCGGAGGTTCCCGCGGTGCCGCAGCCTCCAGGTGTCTTAGGCGCCCCAGATCCTCTGGGCCCGGCACCGCTCCAGGAAGTCACCCTCAAAGCCGGGGCGCCGGGCCACCATGGACACCCTCTCCTGTGCCCCCAACCCCGTTCGCGAAATCACATTTGCCGGGACGCCCACTGCGCAGGACCCCCCACCAGGTCCACGTTTCCTTTTAAAAACAAAAGCGAGAGAAACAAGCCGGCAAACCCCGGCCGCGTCCGTGGCTCGGCGACCCCGCGGACAGCGGCCCTAGCGCGCGGGGACCTCGGCCGACCCCGCCTGCCTCGGAGGCCACTCCGCAACCGGAAAACGAGCCGGCGCGGAACTCAGACGCGCGCCCCTGGAGTCCTCGGAGCAGTCGACACCCCCACCTGGACGCCCGGAGGCGTCCCGCGATCTGCACGTCGGTGGCCCCCGCGCCCCCCGCCCGGGCCCCGGGTGACCCTCCCTGGGACTGGAGCGGCGCCCCGGGTTTTGCTCTCCGCGGCCCCGGTTCTTACCACGCCGCTGCGGGCAGGGCTGGCGCGCGGTTGGGGCGGTGGCTGCTCTGGGCCCGCGGCTGCTGGGTGTGCGCCGGGCGAGGGCGAGGGCGCGGGCCGGAGACGATCGGGGAGGCCGGACGCGGGCCAGGCGGCTCCGGGAGCTCGGGGCTGGAGGAGCGACACCGCGCTCGTCAGTCGCTGGAGGAAGTAACCGGCCCGTCCCCTACGCGGCGCGCTCTTCAGGAGCGGGGGGAGGAGGGAGGAGGGACGGCCGAGGGGAGGGGAGGAGGGAGGGGAGAAGAGCGTGGGGAGGGAAGGGGAGGAGAGAGCGGAGGAGGGGAAGGGAGGTAGGCAGCGTGGGGAGAAGCGGGAGAGGGAAGGGGCAGCAGCAGGGGTGGGGAGCGGAGGGGAGGAGAGCGAGCGCACGAGGGCGGAGGCGGCGAGGGAGCGCGGGGCGGCGCTGGCTCCTTCCGGTCCAGCCCTCCCTTCGCCGCCTGCTGTCACTTGGCTGGGTCCCTCGCCTGCTGGCCCTGGGTCCTGGGGACCCGGGCCTCGGCCCCACGTGCGCGCGAGTGTGCGCCCTGGGAGCCGGGCGGAGACTTTCCGTGGAGCGCTCGGGTCCTCCCCGGGGCCGAGGCCCTCACGCCAAACCTGCCTTTGGAATTCCGCAGCGACGGAGCAGTGGTGCTGGTGGCGCCGAGGGGCAGCCGGGCTTGGGTAATGAGGCCCTGAGGTTGAGCCGACCCCTTCTTGAACCTCCAAATGGGCTTATGACGAAGGATCATTTTATCACAAAAAGGCTCCCAATAATGAGGCGCTGCCTGTAGAAACCGGGCCCCGGCTGTGTCCCCGAGCCGTGGTGCTGATCCGCGCGGCTCCCGGGAAGCCCCGATCCCGCAGGCTCCGCGGGAGTGGCGCCCTCTGGAGCTGAGCGGTGCCCACATAGTGACCAGCCTTGGCCGCGCTTCCCACTTGGCTGGGCACTTCACGCACACCATCATTTCATCATTGTCACTCTCGGAGGCCTTATGGCTCCTACTTTATGCAGGTGGGAACCGGACCTTAGGAGGAATAACCTGCCAGGTCAGATCAGCGAGAAATTCACGGTGGAAACCAGAGTTTATCTGACTCCCAAATCCGCAGTCGAAAGCTCCCTCCACACTGTGGTTTCCGTTTTTATCAGAAGGTGCTTGAGTCCATGGCTGTTTAGACTCAGGTCACATGCTCAGCATTTTGCAGGAAAGTTTAGATTCCTAAAGTTGCGGATGAAATAGGAAAGCCCAGTTTAGGCAAAGCCACGGGGCTGAAAGCTGCTCATTTATCTCAAGGACTGCGGCACCGGTAAGGGAGAGGAAGGGCTCAGCTTCTCTGTGACTCAGGGTTCCCGGTTTCCATGGCGACTCTGGAACTGGAGTTATCCGGTAATTGAGATATTCGTGCACCTTAATGTTTCTGGGTACCCGAAGGTCTCCAGGTATCACCATGGCATGAGTCACAGCCAGAATCTATACCGCTGAAACAGTCAGGTATAGGGGAAGTGATATTTCTTGGAGATTGAATGGATTCTGATGGCTTCTCAGTGTCTATTCAGGCCTGCATTAGAGAGAACAGATAGGTCAAGAAAGAGTTCCATAAATGGAATACAGATTCATAGTAAGTTACCATGGAGACATGAAGAGTATGTTACTATTTTTTTAAAAACCATAGCAGAAAATACTGATTCATCTGAGCTGCAGTTTCAGCTAATATAGGGTCTTTCTCCCTCAGGCTACTTGCATAGCCCTGAGAAGCTGGGTGTAGATAGCTGCTCCCCAAAGCTCAGCTACTTCCCAAAGCTCTCTTGCCCGGAACAGACTGCCTTGTCCCACTGCGCCCACCCTCGTGTTCATGGGTGCTCAGTGCCAGGTGCTCCAGGGCTCCCTGAGTAGAGACATCTTTCCTCTTTGCAGGGCTGGCCCAGGCTGGGGGCTGGAAGGTGGTGCTTTGCTCATGCTGGGCTGTTTCCAATCTATATGAACAGAAAGATATCCAAAGAGGAGCACAGGAGTTTGAAGACCACTGGTTCTTGACAGCAGAGCCCTCCTCTGCTCACTAACTGTGGGCCTCCTCTACGGATTAAGGGATGATTATGGAACCTATGTTGTTAAGACTGCGGTGAATGACATAGAACCAAATCTGCAGAATTTATTCGAGTGTTGAGTACATGGTAGAGAAAGGCTCAAAATGATCTAGTTATTAAGAATCTTTTCCCCAGCTCCCCTCAGGCAGGATTTTATAAAAACTTTTTTGAAAAAAAACTATCATATACACACACAAAAAATCATCCCTCCCCTCGTGAGTTTAAATGTGTGAAAGCCTTGGGAAGATGATCCTGGCCGGAAGACCAAATGGCAGAGCTGAGAGGGTGGGGAGGCCGCTGGAAGAGGAAGCCGGCCTGTGTGCTGGAGTCATCTTAAGCCTAAGCTCCTGCCTCCTAACCAGGTCCCTCTTCCTCCCTGTTTCCCCTTCGGAAGAGCCTGGGGCTTCCCCAAGCAGCCCCCTTGCCCCGGGGGGCTGCTCCACCTCTGCAGGTGGGCAGTCACATGCTTATAATAAAATGGCGTATCCTGGTTCTGTGGCAGTATCAGGGTTCCTTACATTTTTGTCCTTAATACTAGTTGGCTCCCCAGTTACTCAGCAGAATTAAAACACAGTCTGGCTGCAGCCTGTGATTATTCATTGACTATTATGGTGCGATTCACAGGGAACAATGAGCTTTACAGTAAATTAAACCTAATAAAAGTACAATCCTTGTGCTTGGTGATCAAAAGTCGAAGGTGTTGGAAGGAAATGAAAAGTCAGAAGGTGCATGGGGTGGAGCGATCAGAGGCGCTAACCAAGGTGGACTGAGCTTAAGAGCAATTCTAATTAACACTTTCTCCTGAAGAAAGAGGGACGCTCACAGAAGTGAGGAGGAAAAGGGATATTACAGTAGAATATATGTGTTACAAACATGACATATTTAGGGAGTAAAATGCAGAAAAAAGAACTCTTTAGGACCCAGACATAATTATGAGAAATGATTAGCTAGTTGACGAAGTCATCCTCTTAAAAAACATGCCCACAAAAACATCTCCTTAGAAACACGTCTGCATTTACCTTAAAATCCAAATCAATAGTCGACATGCAGTTTGTGGTAGTTTCCAGTTGCAAGTTAAACAGACGTCATTTGGTCTGAGGTGCATCATTTATTCACTTAGCACACACAGAGTCAGATGCTGAGAAGACAAATATGAATAAGGCTTAGTAAGTCCCTGCCCTCAAGAGGTAAAAGTGAGGTGCACAGTTCAGTAAAAATCACGTGCACAGTGAGACTTTGGTGAGGAGTGGAAGAAGAGAAGAATGAACCTAGAGATAGAAATCGTCTACTCAAGTGTGAGCTGGTGCCTGCATCTGCCCTGCTGACCGTTCAGGGGGGTGTCTGGCAGTGGTGACTATTTCACTGATATATGTTGGGGTCAAGGATTTGATAAGCTTAGCCCCCACTTCCCCTCACTCCCAAATCTGACCAACCTTGCCTATTTGCAGGCTGGCCCAGGTACCAAGAATCCTGGGCAGATGTGGGGCCATGGAGCTGCCTCCTGTTCCATCAGGGTGGACCCAGTTTATGCAAGAGCTGGCCAGTGTCTAGTTTCTTCTCTGAGATTCCTTGGAATGGCAGATAGGGTGCTCTGCTGGTGGTTAAAAACTTTTGTTAATGCTCCTTTCTAGTTCCTTCTGCTTGCTGTCAGCCTCCTTTTTCCTTGCACTCCCAGTGGGCATGAAAACATGGTACCCAGGTAGTGGCTGCTGTCTTCACCTCTGAAGGGCAGCCTGTGGGCCCAGACTGCCTGGGGTCAAATCCCAGCCCAGCCTTTCCCTAGCAGGCCATCTGTGGGTCCCTCTGGGCCTCCCTCTGTTAATGTTTCCCAGGCACTTAGAACAATGCCTGGCACGTCATTCAGTGCGTGACTACTAAGTAGCAGGTCGCCTGGCTCTGGAAGGCTTGGTCTTCTGCGGGCATCCCTGATCACTCCTGCCCTACACTGACGCTTCTGGAGGAAAACAAGGAATAAAGTCAATCCCACTGCTGTCAATGGGAGCCATGGTGTCTTTGACTACGATTTTCTTGCCTTTGGTCGTCAGAAACCAGAATGTGAAACGATTTTAAAACTGGAAAAAGCTTCAGAGTTGGTGTCTGAGACCAAGTCTGGTTTTTAAGATGCAGAAACTGAGACCCAGGGAGGATCAGTTCCTTGCCCAGGATCAAGTGGCTATTTCCTGGCGAGGCTGAGGCCACACTCCAGGCCTCCTGCCCCCTCATGCACCACGCTGTCACCCCAGAACGGTAATTTTCCCTTATAAGGCAGTACTCTGGAAGGGTATAAACCGCTTGAAAATCCACCATTATATCAAACTGCACAGTGACGTACTTTAGGCAAGTCTGAACAACCAAAATAGTAATAGCCACCCGTTGTATTCTGTAAAACTGATAATCCCTAAATAAATGTGTCTGAACTGAGTCAGACCTGTACAGATATATGATTTTATAGTTGTGTGTTTTTGTCTGAATCACAAAATGATTCCAACAGTATGCATGGAACTGAGTAATCTCAGTGCCTCAGCTTATGTATTTTGCTAACCAGAAAACTGAACCACCAGTCTTCACACAAACTCAGCGTTAGTCATTACTGTGCCAGTCAGTCTAGCAAATGATTACGTTAGCTTCACTCACATTTTGGTGACAAAATAAAAGTTGGATGAAATTGTTAAGGCTGAATAATGTCACTGACTTAGGCAGGTGTATAAGGAAATCATTCAGAAATTGGAATATTTTTAAGTTATAGCACGTCTTTGGAGGAATGGCTTTCCAATTGCTGCAAGACATTCCACCCACGTCTTCCTATTTGTGACTTTTAGTGTGTCTATTTCAGACCGACTGAGCTGTTAGTACCTCTCGTTTATGGCTGTAAAGTCATCTCGCCTCGTCTCATGTGCTCTGCTCCAGGCGAATGCTGCCTTTACCTCTAAATGCTAGTCACCACACCTGGGACATGCCCCTTTGGTGCAGGTTGAGGAGCCAGAGGAGGGCCAGCACCTCCGCCCTTAGCTCTCAAGGCAGAGGGCGCCAGCCTTCATCTTCTGAAGATTCTCACTGAACGCCCTAGGACTTACCCCAGTTTTCCTAGCAGGGAAATACCCCTTAGAGCATAAACACTTGGCTTAATTCTCTGTGGTCACCACCTTGAAATTGATCATAATTTTTGCCTCAGAGGCCCATTTTCATTTTGCACTGGGCCTTGCAAATTCTGCAGATGGTCCTGGGTAGGCCTTTGCCCTGTGTGCAGGAAGCTAACAGCACTGCAGGTACACAGGGCACATCCTGGTGAGGGGTTGTCAGCC